CAGGCTCCTTCCATTTTGCAGCCCTGCCATTTTCTAGGGCTTCAGTATCTGCTGCTGGATTGTCTGCATCTGGCTGGCAGATGGTGGAAGGCAGAGAGAGTCAGGTTTTATGATTCTGGCTTTGCAGTGGCAAACATCAGGCCAGCTCACTCCCCATTGGACAGAACTTAGTCATGTGATCACACCTAACTGCAGAGAAGCCTGGGAAATGTAGTTCAGCTGTGTGTAAAGGAACCAGGGTTCGTGAACTCATAGATACCCATTGCTGTATAAAGTGGTCCTGGGAAAACCATCCCATCTCACTTGGAGCAAAAGCTGAAGTCCTTTCCTTTGTCCACAGGGCTCTGCCCTTGTGACCTGTACCCTCAGCCTCATTTGCTCTGGTCTGGCCACATGGGCCTCCACGTCCTTTCTCAAACACGCTGGGCCCGCTCCTGCTTCTGGGCCTTTGCATCTACGGTTCTGCCACCTGGAATGTGCTTTCCCCAGATAATCTCCACTCACTCTCTCCATGTATTCAGGCCCCTGCCTGATTATCTTCTCAGACTGGCTTTCCCAAACCACCTTACAGAAAATACTAGCCACCATCACCCTTGACTCCCTTGCCGTGCTTTATTAGGATTATTTTCCAAGCATACACCACTCTCTGAAATTTATATTATCCATGGCATGATTTAAAATTTTTCTGTCTCTGCTGGTAGACTGTGAGCTCCATGAGGTCAGGGACGTCGCCCTGTAGCTCTGGGACCGAGTAGTGCCTCTACATAGTAGGCCTCAGTAAATGTCTGTTGAGTAATAAGTATGTGCTGGGACAGGGGAAGCCTGAGTTTTTTTGGGTGTACAGAGGTGTATTTCTGCCTGGAGAGTCAGTGAAGGCTCCCCTGAGATGACAACATCTGAGTTGGGCTTTGAGGCTTATATAGGGGTGCCATGTGCAGAACTGGACATTTCAGGTACAGAGATGGAACCAGCATGAGGCTCAGGGAAACAAATAATCGGATGGGCTGGGAGCTGGTGGGACTGCAGAGAGGTGGGCAGGTGCCGATTCTGGAGGAGCTGGTGTAGCCAAGCCGAGGGCCCCAGACTTACTCCCAGTGATGGGGAACCATGGAGGTGGTGTAGAGAGATCCCATCTGCTTGTGACCAATGGAGGCTTCCAGAAAGTGGCAGATTTAGATGGCCTAGGAAGATGGAGGAGGATTTGTATCAGAGGAAAAGATGGGGAGGATTTCAGGATATGGACGAGAAGTAATAAGAATGAAGACAGAGTCTTGATGTGGCCTGTGTGGAGTCCCATCCATCCACACACACACTGATCAAACATTTATGAACAACCTTTCAGTACAGGCCAGGTTTAGGGGTGTTGGCTTTATCCTAGAGGTGCTGGGGAGCCATGGGAGGATTATGAGCAGGGGAGGTCCAGGGTCAGCTCTGGAGCCATGTGAGTGAAGAACTGGAGTAGAGAGATGGGAGGCTGGGAGGCCAGTGAGAAGGCTGGGGTGACCGTGGGAGTGGACAGGGCTTGGGAACTGAGGTACCGTGGGAGTGAAGGGGCAGAAGGGAGTGGGGACGGTGCCTGCGAGTCGGGCCTGGAGTCTGGGTGGATAGGGTGGAATAGCTCGCAGGAGCTCTAGGGGTGATGACAGGTGAGAGATGGGCGTGGGCAGCAAGGGTTGGGGGTCCAGCCTATCTCCAACTTCTCACCCTACTTCTCACTCACGGCCTCCCCCATCCCTAGTACCAGAGGCACCTGTTCGTGCACATCAGCCAGCACTGCCCCAGCCCTGGCGCGCCCCCGCTTGAGAGCGTGGACGTCCGGCAGATCTATGACAAATTCCCTGAGAAAAAGGGCGGTCTGCGGGAGCTGTATGACCGCGGGCCGCCCCACGCCTTCTTCCTGGTCAAGTTCTGGGTGAGTCCTGCCACCAAAACACAAGTGCTTATAAATCATGTGGCATCCCAGCTAAGGCCTCTGGCTCTAAGGTCAGCCTGGGCCTTACCACTCCCCCTGGCTTGGGATATCGGCCTCCTTGGCAACAAGGACCACAGAGGACTTTTGTCCCCAGGGTGGGATGCAGGGGACTGGTGCAGGCATAGGTATACGACTTGGACCTCCCCAGGACCCGCTAGATGTTGCACACCCAGTCATGTGACCGATATGGCCCTTGGGATTGGGGTGTGACGTTTCAGACTTCCCTTCGTCCCACCTGACCACACCAAGCATTGTTGCTATGGGATGGCCCCCCTCCCCTTAGCAAATGGAACCCTGGGGAGTTTGGCTTCTGAAGAGCAGATGCCGTGTCCCATCAGACCCCGTTGTTAGAGAATGTCTGACCTTGAGGATACGAATAACGGAGCTGGGGAGTGGCTTTGTAAACTCTTGTATTTACTTAACGATCATTTATTGAGTACTTACTGTATACAAGGCCCTATGCCAGGTGCTATGTGCATAACTGCAAATAAGAGGGTCCATTTGGGTCTTTCTTAGGCCTGTTTGGTTTGGTGTCCAGCGCAATGGCTGATGCTATAGCTATTAGGACAGGCCTCCCCAGGTCCCAGGTCTGGAGAGCGACCCTTCGGAAGCCCAGCATCTGAAGGGGTGCAGGGGGGTGACTGGGAATACGCTTGATTTTGTCTGGCTTCTCAAGGCCGTATTTTCAAGGTGATGGATAGAGTCAGGCCTCTGAGGAGAGGACGAAATTGTCCCAGAGAGGTCCCTGGTCAAGTTAGTAACTCAAGTCAGGAAGAGGTGTGCCTCCCAGGAAGGTAACAAGGGGCTCAGGCCAAAGGTCATATGAGGTCTTAGGCCTGACTTGGCGTAATGATGGACCCTCTGCTCACTTGGCCACTGGGCTCATGGCGGGGTCTGACCTCTAAGGATGAGCTGAAGGGCCCGGGAGAGCGTTCCATAGGTGACTGACCCCGCTCAGGCCCCATTGATACGGAGTCGGGAGGGGCCCCGAGGGAGAGCCCCCAGTTGCTAGGGAGTAACTGCCTCCTCGGAAGGGCTTTGAAATCTTGAGTTGGAGCCTTTAGGGGACAAAAGTTGAAATCTGGGGTTCCTCTGTCGGGGGCTCACTGGGGAGAGAGGGCCAGGACAATGCGGGGGACTTGGGCTTCTCCAGCACTGATGGAAGCGTGGGACTTCTTCAGAAACTGGCCCCCCGGAGAGGTGAGGACTTTACGCCAAGGAAGAAAGGTGGGAACTACAGGGGCAAATGGGAGAAGCCAGGCCATGGGGCAGAGTTCCCATGTTAGAAGGGACGTCCTTTCCAATTTACCCGTCTCCTCATCCCTCAGGCGGACCTGAACTGGGGCCCTAGTGGCGAGGAGGTGGGGGCCGGTGGCAGCAGTGGTGGCTTCTATGGCGTGAGCAGCCAGTACGAGAGCCTGGAGCACATGACCCTCACCTGTTCCTCCAAGGTCTGCTCCTTCGGCAAGCAGGTGGTGGAGAAGGTGGAGGTGAGGCCGGAGGGGTGGAGCTCCGCGCAGGTGAGCGCCCAGCCACCAGCCACTTTGGGGGTGCAGACTTAAATGGACCAGAAACCATGACAGCTCAGGCACCTGGGGGGGCGGTCTTCATGGTGGGGGTGGGGTGTCCCAGCCTCTAGGGGGTTTAATGCATCGACTTAGAGCTGATATGGAGTTCTAAAGTCACGTGTTGGGGTCACTTTGAGGTTTCAAAGGTAATGCGTGGGACAGAGATTTACAGTCACTCAGATTCAGAAAATTCTTGTGGATATGGAAGAATCCTCAAGGCAAGGAAGTCCAGGGCTCGCACCTAAGGGTTCTGAGGACTTGCGGGGTCTCGAGTTCAGAGGTCATAGAGTTTGGAGATCCTGTGAAGGGTCTCTGGAGGATTTGAGGGCATCTGAGGGCCTGGGGGTCCTTGAGGGGTCAGAACACGGCTCTGAGGCGCTCGGGGTCCCTAGTTTGCGGGCTCGGCGATACTGAGTTGGACAGCCGAGGGTTCCGGGTCCCATCTCTCTGGTCACCGTGGATGGGGCGAGGCAAGAGGGAAGATAGCGGTGGGGAGTGGGCGTGGTATCTGAGGGGCACGGAGTGGGGCTGGGTTCCTAGGGTGACCCCTGTTTGTGTCTCAGTCACCGTCCTCCCCGCTCCCTGTCCCCTGGTTCAGACGGAGCGTGCCCAGCTCGAGGACGGCAGGTTCGTGTACCGCCTGCTGCGCTCGCCCATGTGCGAGTACCTGGTGAATTTCTTGCACAAGTTGCGGCAGCTGCCTGAGCGCTATATGATGAATAGCGTCCTGGAGAACTTCACCATCCTTCAGGTGATGCGCTGCGGCTGGGCCGGAGCGGGGACCCGGATGTGGTGGGTGGCCGCGCCCAGCACAGACCCTCGACCCAGGGGACCCCTGCGCCTGGGACACTGACACATTGGGCACTCTATAGCATTCTCGTGAGGGGATGCTGACCTGGAGGACACGCGGGGTGCATCCTTAGCTAAGGGGACCCCATTCACAGGGAGGGGACATGATATGGTAGGATGCCTTTAACTTTGGGGAATGTGCTGAGCCGGGGACCCCTTTCACCTGGAGAATGGGATGTGGTGGGGACTCCTTTGACCCTGTAAGGTGATATATATCATCTGATGTGAGGCCCCTCAAACGGAGAACCCAACATGTTGGGCATCCCCTCTACCTGGGAGGTGTGACGTGGGGAGGGCCCCCTTTCCTGGGTATCTCATGATAACTGTGGGAGGGCGTGGTGGTCCCTTCTCCCCCTGCCAAGAATAACCCCCTTCTCCTGGCCTCCTTGGCAGGTGGTGACCAACAGAGACACCCAGGAGCTGCTGCTGTGCACCGCCTACGTCTTTGAGGTCTCCACTAGCGAGCGGGGAGCCCAGCACCATATTTACCGCTTGGTCAGGGACTGAAAGGGGACCCCAAAAGTGGCTCACCCCAGAATGCCCTCCTCCCAGGAAGGACCTCCGGCTTTCCTCATGCTTATCTGGGGAGGGAGCTGCTCCCTGTTAGAAGGGGACCATAAAAGCTGGGTGGTGAGCCTCACGGCCAAGGACTGAGAGGGAAGGATGGACCCTGATATTGGGACCTCACAAGGTTGTCTGAAAGGACAGATCACTCCAGGGCGTCAGGGACTGGCTTCTCAGTCTCTAACAGGGGCCCTCCCCCTACTGTCGTGGGTGTTTTAGAGAGCCCTAGTTACACATCAGCTTGTCCCTCTCTGTTGTTCAGCCCTTCCTTTCCCAGTCTGCCTCTCCTGACCTCCTCCGCCTTGTGACCCTGATAGCGAATATTGAAGGTTAACCCTTTCAGTGCAGGAGCAGAGCCAAGGGGGCCTTGGAAAAAAAAATTTTTTTTTTTTAAATATAACAAGAGATATTTATAAGTGGGTGTTAGGGTCATGACTTTTTCTCAGCTGGGCAAGCAGTGGGGTAAGGCTTTTCATCCCCTCTTCTACATGAGCTAGACTGTGTGCCCCCCACCCCCACTCCAAGTGTGTTGGTTTGCGTTTTGACAGAGGATAAAGCTATTTTACCAAAACACAGGGGATTTATTTGGGGTTTGGGTGAAAAATAATCTTGTGGGAAGTGGTGGGCTGACTGATGAGGCCCGGAAACAAATGAGGTATCTTTGGGGACAGGAAACTGGGGGCCGGAAGCCCCAGTTCCCGTGGGAGAGGTGACAGCAGTGTGTGTGCGGTAATGTGGAGGCGGAGGGCTTAATGTCTGGGGAGAACTAGGGGTTAAACAGATATTTACAGGTGACAAGGAAGTAAGTGCTCTGAGCACTTGAAGGGGTCAGGACGGGACTTTGGGAAGGGTGTGGCCTAGCGGTACCGAGCGATCCTGTCGTAGACTTGGTCCAGGTTTCTGCACAGGAATATGGAGAGCGTCATGAAGCTGAGCTATAGAGAAAGGAGACGCAGTCAGAGAGGCGGAGTGGGTGGCGTTAAGAGAGTGGTGGGGGGGGGGTGGGGTCCTGAGGAAGTCAGGGGCGGGGGGCCAGGGTAAGAAACTGGGCGTCAAGTATTGGACGGAGCAAGGCTAGAGGGAGAACTGGGCCTGGGGTCCGGGAAAGAAAAGAATGGTACAGCTACGGGTGAAAGGGCGGGAGGTCACGGGGTCACACCAAAGATGCGGAGGAGCAGGAGAGCGTGGATACAGGGTCGGGGAGGGGGGATCCAGCTGCGCCTAATGCAGGTCTAGAGCCTGGGAAGGAGCGAGATCCGGAGCAAGCCCAGGGTCTTTTATTCCGGAAGCTCATCTGTCTCCCCCTCTGCCTGCGCCTCTAATTGCACCTCGGCGGCCTCCACCTCTGTGCCCACGCTCCCGGTCTCAGGCTGTTCCTCGTCTTGATCCCAAAGCGGCCAGGGACCCAGGGCCATGGGCAGCTTGCCCTGCGGGGCCTTGTCCCCCCAATTGGGGCAGGCGTGGGCCATGCTCCAGCCACCCCTCAGATTGCCGCTACGCCCGCTGCTGCTCAGCACACCACCGCGCCCGCTACCGCCATCAGCGCTCAGGCTGGGCCCGGGGCTCGAACCGCACGCGCCCTGCACCTGTGGCTGGGGTTCCCGGCTGAGCGCTCTGCGTGGCAGTAGCAGGCTCAGCCCTGCCACACTCACCTGCGGGGAAAGGGGAGGGATATTGTGCTCCGCCGAGGAGGCCCGTGGGAGCCTCGTGAGGGAGGGTGGGAATGCCTGCGTGCAACCAGTTAGGGCTCACAGGCTAGGTCTCCTCCCAGGTGGAGCGACAGGACTTGGATCGCCGATACTCTATCACGCATGCGCCTTTCCCAGAGCCTGGGCGGACACGCGATATGCGGCAGGACTATCTAGGGACTGTAGGGCCAATCGGGAGTGGGGGCGGGCCCGGATTACCTCGAGGAGACCGACACCCAGGCAAATGCCCACTATGGAGATGAAATTGTTGTGCAACCAGTTCTGGAGGTTCCGCGCGCAGCCCTGGGAAAGCAGAGAAAGGTTAAACATGGGTTCTTCTTGGGATGCGCCCTCAAGCCCTGGCCCACCGTTCTCAGCGCAGCTCTCACCCCTCATTCAGGCACCGCCCCGTTTCCCTAGTTACCAGGGTTTAGTCTCGGCCCCGCGGGGTCCAAGCCTCCCCATCCCGAGGCATCTGGCGTTCCAGGTCCTCCCCTTTCACCTAGATCTTTTAGGCCCCGCCCCGTCCAGGGGTTCCGCCTTTCCCGTTGTACCGTTGTCTCGAAGCCCCACCCTCTTTGCAGACCCCGCCCACGCACTGAGGCCCCGCCTCCTTCGGGCCACGCCCCTCCCGTTTCCAGCGGTTCCAGCTCCAAAGCCTGCCCACCTCACGGTAGGTGTAGCTGCTTGCCGGGACCGCGCAAATGTCTGTATTGTGTCGGGGCCGCGCCACTGGCCCCAACCGGCTGAACTGGGGGAGCGAGATCTTATCGAAGATTGAGGAGTCGTTGGTCGCAGATGAGTTATAGCAGGAGCAGGGCACGCGGTACGTCTCTGACTCGTTGCTGCTCAGGCTGGGGACACGGACCCAGTCCTCAGGAGAGTTCCAGCCGCAGCAGCGCAGCTGGGAGAGGGACAGAGTCAGAGGGACCGGGACTGGAGCGATGCAAGATGATTTGGGGGATCAGGGGACTGGGCGATGGCATGAGGTCATGTTGGCAGGAGCGGGCTAAGTGGTGGGCTGGGCTGGGGTCACGACAGGGCCAGGGCCAGGGGACATTAGAGGACCTGGGGCTGGAGGTGAAGCTGCAGAGTGACGCCGTGGACCGAAGATTGGATGGGCAGTGCATTTCAGCCGCAGGAGACAGGTGGATGGGAAGGCGGGGCCATGGGAGTGACCAGGGAATAGAGGCCCACGTGGGCTGGGTCCCCTGGGAGCCAGAGTCACTACGGGGCAGGGAGTGTGGTCACACTAGGGCTTTGTGGCTGAGGGCGGAGTCTCTCCAGGGTCTGGGTGTGGGAGCTGTGGTCTGGGCCACATTGGGGCCAGATACGTTATCATTAGGGGGCGGGGCCACGTCCGGCGCGGCGGGAGGTGGGGG